TTCTTATTCGTCATTGACTTCACGCCAAACCTTGACAACGTACCAGGACCAAATCTACCCATTTATTTATCAATTGTTGTTGTTGGCCCTAGTTGCTATTTGTAGCAACCTTTTTGCCTATTTCTCTACGGGAATTTATAGCTTTTCCATGTTGTCAATGGTGGTGTCTTTTCTTTATCTCATTCTTTCGGCTCCTAGTCCACTCTTTCTCTCTTTAATACTTGAAATTTGATAATTCAAATGAGAAGGTTAAAACAGTACAATATCCTTTTTAATAATTTTCTATTATTTTTTTGCTACAAATAATTTTCTATTGTTTGATTTCCTTTCTAATAATTAATGTTTGTTATGGTAGTAAATTCAAAATATTTACACTACACTACCCCTTTTTAAAATTCTCCCAAAAATTTTAATTAAAATTAATTAAATTTTCAACGTAATTAATACCAATTTCTCCTTTCCAATTTTTTCCTAAAACAATTCAAAAAATTTATGTAAATTTTTTTCTTTTAATATGTAATAGTTTTATGAATTCCGAATGGCTGTAATCTCAATTTAGGGCCCGAACTTTCATAAAAATCTCAAATAAGGACCCTAAAACACAATTTCAATAAATTAGAAGACATACTAAGTAAATTTTTACAAATTAGGTTCTCCTCAGATGAAAACCAATGCTTTTCATGCCTACACATCAATTTTGATAGAAAAATGGTGTTATTAAATTAATTAAAAATCAAAACATATTAATTCAAATAAATTCAATAAATGTAGTATGATACAAATTTTTTCCGTGCTTTTTGATTTATATACATCTCGCACACTAGTATTAACTAATATCTAGTAAAATTGATAATTTAATAAATTAATTAAGTTATGATAAAACTCACGCCAAACTTGCAATAGAAATGTGATAAATCACATTTTATATATGTATAAATTAACAAAAGCCGCAATATGTATTTCTACTCACCATGTCACATAGCTTTTACATGTTTGCCTCCTACCCTCCAATCCATATATATATATATATATATATATATATCGTATTTTTCATAAATCAAAAGCTACTACTCTCGAAATTATCTAGATCAGAATAGTTATTATATAATATTTTTATTAATAATAAAATCTAATATTTGGAATCTTTCCTATGCTTTTAAAAATGAGATATTGGAGAAAATTTAAATCTATATTTATGCAATATTGTGATGATTTGATGGTTGTTTTGATACTCCTCCCATCAAGCAACTATTCAAGGAGATGTATCAAAGACCATGGTGTGCTCACCCAAAATATGGCTGCTAATTGGATTGTGAAATGGGGCTATTCACAACCGAGAGGAGTATCGAGTTTAAGCCAATGCTGTGGAAATGGGGTTATTCACAATCGAGAGGAGTCTCAGTTTTTAGCCAATGCTGTGGTTTGAGATGGATACTATGGATATTGTATAGATAAATAATAAGAGAACTGTATAAAGGCTAAATTTATTAAATTTCATTCCCTCTTTGTTCATCATCTTTCTCATTGTATCTTCGAAGTACTAAACAACATATTGTGAATCATTCTAGGAAAAAACAAATTGAATGATCGATACCTGTTATTATTGTAAATGTTAAGAAAATAATTAAAACACACTCATAGATTGTTTATTTGTTCTTAAGTTTGAAATTAATTAGGATTGTTCAGTTTATATATATGGCAGCTATTAGTCCGCAGGTAAAAATTTTAGGTTAACGAATTGGGTTGAACTCAAGCTTGACTAAGGAAAAATTGAAAAGCCCAATCCAAACCATACACAACTGTATACTTTTTAGAGAATTGCAAATTAAAATTAAAGATTTTTTTTGTTAAATGAAATTAATAAAGACTTTATCTTTAATCTTTTACATTTTTTTCTTGGGTGTTGCTAAACACCGTTCCCTTTTTGCTATTCACCGCCCCCCTTTTGACACTTTTGCCATTTGCTTCATTTTCTAAAATTTCAAATCCTCTGAAATCTTGAAGCTATCACGAACGTAGAGTAGTCCGAGAATTTCGGAAATGGACGATAACGTGCCGTATTTTGATGACGATGTAAGAAAATTGCAATTTTTGGGGAGATTTGGGGCTGATGACCGTGGGCAGCACATGCATTTTTTTAATATATTTATAAAAAATAATTTTTTATGTTAAATATTATTAGTTTGGGTCAATATTAGTATTAGTATTAGTTTGGGTCAATATTATCCTACAACGCCCGTTACCACCAAAATCTTCTAATGAAACCTGCAAAATTTAATTAGGGTGTTGCTAAACACCGCCCCCCTTTTTGCTATTCACCGTCCCCCTTTTGACACTTTTGCCATTTGCTTCATTTTTTAAGATTTCAAATCCTCTGAAATCTTAAAACTATCACGAATGTAGAATAACCCGAGAACTCCGGAAATGGACGATAACGTGCCGTATTTTGATGACAATGTAATTAGAAAAATGCAAATTTTGGGGAGATTTGAGGCTGATGACCGTGCCGCGCTAATTGTGTTTTGGGGCCCTTATTTGAGATTTTTATGAAAGTTGAAGCCCTTATTTGAGCCTTTACTCATTATGAATTACCGTTCTTTCTTTTGTTAAAGTTAAATAAAAATTCCCCACCAATTAAAATTTAAAAATTAAAGTTAAATAAAAGTTCAAGATACCAATGATATGGGCAGCGGTACCATAAACTACAAAAAAAAAATTGTAAGTATAACAAATATAAAATAAAACTTGAACCACCAATATCATGGAGCAGAAGATATCATCGATAGCAAATTATAAGACCAAATTATTATTATAATTAATTTATATGAATTAAAAGTATAAAATATACAAAGAAAATCAATTGTTTCAGACGTACGTTGAAAAAGCTTGAGGAACCATTAACTTTTTTTTTCTTTTGAGAAAAGAACCATTAACTTTTTTTTTTTGGTGAAACAAAAGAACCATTAACTTGATATAACGATTTAATGATTCTGGATTTAACTAATCATTAAAACTTAGTAGTTTTTTATGAAATAAAAACATACGTTTACCCTTTAAAGGAAGGACTAAAATTTTAAAATTAAAAAGGGTAATTTAGATATTTCAGGTCAAGGTTTTTGAAGTTTAGACTTATCTATACTATATATATATATAATGAGATTAACAAAATTCATAGTGAGATTAACAAAATTCTATAGGGAAGTTATCAACATTCCTAGGGAGGTTATCAAAATTTCATAGTATGGTTATCCAAATTTCATAGTGTACCAAATCAACCTTTTAACAATTATTGTGGTTATCGAAATTTTATAGTGAAGTTAGCAAAATTAATTTCATGTAGAGGTTATCACTATTTTATAGTGTGGTTATCAAAGTTTCATAGTGTGGTAATCAAAATTTAATAGGATGATTATCGAAATTTCATAGTGTGGGTATCAAAGTTTCACAGGGATATGGAGGTTATTAAAATAATATAGCGGGATTATCAAAATTTCATAGTAAGGCTATATTTGGTAGGAGAAACTATTTTCTAAAATATCAATGAAATCAAATAGTCATACAACATGTGTCAATGAAAATAAGTATACTTTTAGAAAATGATAATGACATTGAAATGGAAATCTCAGACTAAAAATATAAATATTTTCAAATTCAATTCAATTTCCATTTCCATTTTCCAAAATTATATTCATTTTCATTGACACATGTTGTGTGACTACTTGATTTTTTTATATTCTTAGGTTCTGTTTGGTAGAGCTGTGAGATTAGTGTGGGGGAGATTCAAATGGAGAGATTAGTTACTATACATGTGAGATTCGAATTGCAGCTTTGAGAACTTAACTAATGATGAAAAAATGTATGTTTGGTGTGGTGGTGAGATCAAATATAAAATTACCTTTAAGGGTAGTTATATAAAAGAATATTATAAAATAGTAGGGACAAAAGAGGTTAAACATGACTATTAAAATTCTAAAAGCTCCAAACACTATATTTTCCAGTTTTTGGAAATTTAGCTTTTGTTGCGATTAGCTTTTGCCACGTAGGACAACCATTCCCACCGCAGCATCCACCAAAACCAGCTTTTAGAGTTTTTGACATGTTTGGGACGTGCCTAAAGCTCTCCGTTTATAGCCTTAGAAAATGAAAACAGAAAATGTTTTTTCCTATTAAATAAAGCCTAAGGTTATCAAAATTTCAAAAATTTTTGTAACACGACGAATAAAAAAATTTCCACCTACAAATGTAACACATCAAATTAATGCAATTATTTTACATTTCAATAATCAAATTCTTTTACTTCTAATTAGTTTGATATATATTTACTATTTAATTTAAAGTTTGCTTAATATAATTATAATACAATAAATATATAATTTAATTCTTTAATTTTTAGTGTTTAAATTATTTTAATATAATTTTTATTTAAACGAATTCGGACACGTGCAACGCACGTGAAAGTTAAGACTAATATAATATAAAGATATGCTGCGAGTGCGAGTGATTAATGAATGCATAGTTCTTTTCCTACAACTTTTAGTACATAGTTATTCAATCAGAATAAACCAAGAAACCGCGGATAATTTGAGGACCACCATCCAGGCTTAATTAAGCTTCAAAATTCACGAAGGACAAGAAGAAATTGCATGCTAGCAGGACTTTGAGGACTTGGTGCAAAACCTCAAAAATCAAATTAGTCCAACTCTATCAAGGTCATGTTCAGACTTGATTCTAAATGATAGGGTTATCTTAACCTTGGCGGCTAAGCCTAAATAGAATGGGGAGAGAAAATCAGAGAGATTGAGATGAGAGAAGAATATTTTCCAAATCTTTCTTATTATTCATTCCTTAGCAATCACGTTCATATATATAGGCAGTAGAGAAATAGAAGGAATCTCCTAGAAGGATTCTACATTAAGCTCAATGCAATAAAATATCTAAATAGGCAAATTAGGCAATTGAAATGGTAAAACTGCTCCTCGGCATTATCCTGCTTTCATTCTTCATTTTCGATCCAACTCATAGTCCTTGTAGCGAACAGGCTGGGTCTTGAGCCTTGTGGATTTGGATCGAATGGGAGGCCTATCATTGCCATGCTCTCCAAGAACAACCTTGTCCTCAAGGTTGAAGAGAGGATAATTGACTTTCATATCTTCTTCCCACTCCCAGGTAGCGTCAACAGCTGCAAGGTCTTTCCATTGTATGAGGTATTGCTTGGTTACAACACCATTGAGCATAGTTGTCCTGCAGTTCAGAATGTCGCTCGGTTCCAAAACTGGTTGATCTTCCACAAAGGTTTTGGGTAGTGGAGCATAATGATCAGTATGGGAACCATAACATTTTTTTAGCAGAGATACGTGAAAGACCGGATGGATCTTTGCTTCAGATGGTAACTCCAACTCGTAAGCCACCGGACCAAGCTTGCGAAGTATTTTGAAGGGTCCAAAATATCTTTTCGCAAGTTTCTGAGATGGTCGTTTGCTAACAGAGACTTGTCAATACGGTTGAAGTTTTAAGAACACCCAATCTCCCTCGACAAACTGTTTTTCAAGCCTATTACGATCATGCTGCATTTTCATCCTGTTTTGAGCCCTTGCTAAATTTGCCTTAAGCATGCTCAAAATTTGTTGTCTCTTTATAAGACCAGAATCAAGTTGTGCTACCTTTGAGGCTCCTGGTAAATAAGACAAAATTGAAGGTGGGGGTCTTCCATACACTACTTCAAAGGGGGTGAAACCAGTAGATGAATGTTTAGAAGTGTTGTAGGAAAATTCTGCCCAATGTAAAAATTTAGTCCACAGCCGCGGTTTGTCACTCACAAAGCTTCGCAAATAGGTCTCGAGACATCTGTTGAGAACCTCGGTTTGGCCATCGGACTGAGGATGGTAGGCACTACTATGAAACAATTTAGTTTGCTGCAGCTTGAATAATTCCTTCCAAAAAATGCTTAGAAACTTCGGGTCTCTATCACTGACTATGGTGGAGGGCATTCCATGAAGTCTGCAATATTCCCATATGTTTGATGGAATAGGTAATGGAGTTGAATGTCCCCCGGGTTTCGCAGTCTCATACTTCACTTGCTGACATGTAGCGCATAGCTTGATGAAAGACTCGACATCATGTCGCATGTTAGGCCAGTGGAAGTTAGCTGCCAAACGAGCTAAAGTTTTCTTCACCCCTGCATGACCTCCAGTAGGGGAAGAATGGAATTCATGTAATAATAAAGCTCGTAATGGATGTTTTTCAGGAACATAAACTCGTCCCTTGAAGAACAACAACCCATCTGCGATTGTCAATCCGTCACCCCCATTGGCCGCAGCTTGTGCCCATAATTGTTCTCCTTGCTCAGCTGTAAGATAAAAGTTACACAAGTCATCTAAAAAGGACAAAATGGGTTGGGTCATAGCCATGTGGGTAATCTGCATTGTGTAACACCTTGACAGAGCGTCAGCAGCACTATTTTGTCTCCCAGGTTTATATTCGATTGAATATTGAAAACCCAATAACTTCACCAGCCACTTTTGTTGCTCCGGTGTTTGAACTGTTTGGTTCATCATGTTCTTAATGCTTTGCTGATCAATGTAGATGGTGAAGGGTCTTCCTATCAAATATTGGTGCCATTTATGCACAACCTCAGTGATGGCATATAACTTTCTCACATAGGTGCTGGCTAGCTGCTTTTGGGGCCCCAATTTTTTACTAAAATATGCCACAGGGTGGCCCGCCTGAGTGAGTACAGCGCCAATGGCGACGTTAGAAACATCCGCTTCTATCGAAAAAGGTAATGAAAAATCAGATAGAGCCAAGACAGGGACACTAGTGAGTGCTGCCTTCAAAGCCTGAAAAGAATGTTCTGCATCAGGTGACCATAAGAAATTGTCCTTGCGCAATAGATTGGTAAGAGGAGCTGCTATATGGGCATAATTTTTGACAAATTTCCTGTAATATCCCGTTAATCCAAGAAACCCTCGAAGTGTTTTCAGGTTGGTGGGTTTGGCCAAGCCATCACTGCTTGAATCTTAGAAGGATCGACATGTACCCCTTGGTCTCCAATCACATGCCCGAGATACTCGATAGAGGTTTGCCCAAATGTGCACTTTGAAAGCTTTGCATAAAGCTGATTATGAGCTAGAAGTTGGAGTACCGTAGCTAAGTGGTTGTAGTGAGCCTCCATAGATGAGCTATAAACCAAAATGTCATCGAAGAAGACTAGCACAAAATGGCGCAAATAGGGTCTGAAGATATCATTCATGGTGGCTTGAAAAGTTGAGGGAGCATTGGTCAGCCCAAACGACATGACAAGGAACTCATAATGGCCATCTAAAGTTGTGAAGGCCGTCTTATGAATGTTTTCGGGAGCAACTCTAATCTGGTGGTAACCAGCCCGTAAGTCAAGCTTAGAAAAAATTTTGGCACCATGTAATTCGTCAATGAGCTTATCAACCGTTGGGATAGGGAAACGATCCTTGATTGTTGTAGTGTTCAAGGCCCTATAATCAACGCAGAAACGCCAAGTACCATCCTTTTTTTTAACTAAGAGCACAAGTGAAGAAAATGGGCTCACACTCGGTCGAATGATGCCTTGTTTAAGCATATCCTCAATGATGTTGGTCATGTCTTGCTTCTGCGAATGGGGGTATCTATAGGGGCGTACATTGATGGGGGATGCACCTGGCTGTAAGTGAATGTGATGAGATTGTTGTCGAAACGGAGGCAGTCCTTGGGGTTTGGCAAAAACAGAATGATACTTTGAAAGTAGGGTTTGTAAGGTTTCTGGTACTTGAAGTGTAGAAGAGTCATAAACATTTTCAATTTCTGAAATTGCCAATAAATGAGCTGAGGCAACAGAGTCCATGTGTATAAGACATCTAAGTTGTTGGCAGGTGGCTGGGCTGACTTGTATAGGCTTGTCCCCATGAAGAGTAATGTAGTTGCCATAGGAATCATAAAAGGACATGAAAAGGGCCTTATAGTCCGCAATAAATGGGCCAATTTGTACCAGCCACTGTACACCTAAAACGACATCAGCCCCCCAAATATCCAAAAGAAACAAGTCCAGTGTAAAATCATGCCCTTCTAGCCCAATGGAGATGGATGGTACCTTTCCCGAACAAAGAAGTCGATCTCCGTTGCCGACCATAACTGAGAACGGAGGTGCTGGTTCCAGGCGAAGTCCCAGTTGCTTTGCTATCCTTGGTTGAATCAGGTTATGAGTACTACCCGAATCAATAAGGACACGCACCTTGTGCCCCATTAACCAACCAGTCATTTTCATTGTTTGACAAGACGAAGACCCATTTAAAGCATGTATGGATACCTGAAATGCCGAAGTGTCCTGGTCATCATAATCAGATGGTGGTGGAGGGAGGGGCAAAGATGCCAAAGCAAGAACCGATGGGGAATCTGTGTCAGGTGCGTCGTTGGTATCTTCCTCAGTCTGCAAAAGTAAGAAGGGTGTTGTACGACAACGATGGCCGGGTTTATATTGGTCATCACAGTTGTAGCAGAGTCCCTTGGCCCTCCGGGCTTGCATCTCAGTCGGAGTTAGCTTCTTTATAGGCCAACTGTTAAGAGGTTTCGGTTGGGATGGTGGTGGTAGTCAGGGTATAGATGATAGAGTAGGAGGTTTGGGTGGTGGTAAAGCCATGGGGGGCTTTTGGGATGTTGCTCGGAATGGGGTGGTAATCGGGTATGGAACAGAGGAAGAAGAATCTAATAATTTTTCTTCAATCAAAGCTACGCAATCACCAGCTTCAGCAAGGTTTTGGGGTTTCAAAACCGCCATCTCTCTTTGTATTTGAGGAAATAACCCACCGAGAAAGCAGTTAAGGATGCTTGTTTGGGGAAGACCATCGACTTGATTGGCGAGTTTCTCAAACTCTCCTCTATAATGGGCAACGGTGGAGGTCTGTTTGAGTTTAAATAGAGCCGCCTCATGGTTGAAGTAGGAGGAGGGTCCGAAACGGCGTTCCAAAGTTCTGGCAAATGTTTCCCAATCGGTTAACATACTATTGTGATGTAGCCATTTAAACCAACTAAGAGCATAACCGCTCATATAAAACGCCACAAGAGGTAAGCGTTGTTCTGGTTTGATAGCATGAAAGGAAAAATATTGTTCGGCTTGGAAAAGTTAGTGAAGAGGATTAGTGCCATCAAATGAGGAAAGGTTCATTTTAGGGCTTTTTATACCGAGATTGTCTGGTGGGGAAGGAAACTGGGATTTAGAAGAAGGTGCTGGTGTAAGGAGTTGGGATGGTAATAAAGAGGGGGAAGGGGAAATTGAGGCTGTTTTCTCCAGTTTGGCAACTTGAGCCTGAAGATCATGAATGCTTGAGTGGTGTTCTGTAAGGGCAGATGTAGACCCGTTTGTTTTGATAGAATTTAATCACTTTCTATAGAAAGTATAGGGTAGGAAACAACTTTAACGTGTTTGGTAATTTTTTTAAAAGAAAGTTTAGGGTAAGAAAATTTAAGTGTCCCAAATACGTTCTCTCCAAAGTGAGAAAATACTTTAACACCAGGAAGGTGTTAATCCACTTTCTCACTTTTCTGCTGAAAGTGATTTTGCAACAAAATTACTTAAAGGGCCTATTTTTTCTTTTGGCGGCAAGTTTTTTCACTCCCAAAATTATTCCCGCTTCCTCTTTTCAATAGATCAACATGCTTGAAGCCTCAAACTTCTTTTTTCTCCAGTTCGTTTAGCACGTTCATGCTCTCTTTGCAAGGAAAATCCACTCTAGGTATTTATCTTCTTTCTTTCCTAATTTCCTTAACGTTTATGGCTGTTTTTTCCTTTTTATATATTCTTTTTTGGGTTGCCTAATTTCCTTCACGTTTATGGCTGTTATTCCCCCTTTCTATATGTTTTTTTTAATGGGTTTCAATCTGCTATTTTTTTTTTTAATATTTGCTATGGGTTTCAATTTAGATTTGTTGTTTATAATGATTTAGGGATTTCCAAAACTTAGCAACTCTAAAGAAAGCATAAGCCATTTCGATATGAACACCATCAAAGATCACAATTTGATTAAGAATATTTTGATTCTGTACAATAGATATCAGTCTCATGTCAACTTCTTAATTTAAAGGCTAAAAAGTAATTTGTGCCAAAATAAAGGCTAAAAAGTAATATGTATATGAGCAGTAAAATACTATATAATATTCTTATACATATATCAGATAATCAAGAACAAGGAATCAATCATATCAGTTTGGAGCTATGAATTTAAAGTTTGTTGTATATTCTTATACATATAATATTCTAAATTCTCCAAGAAGAAAATCTCAATTTCTTTTTTTTGGAAATTTTAATGTTCTCAGACTTGTATAGTTTTGCAAGTCCAAATTAGTCCAAGTTAACAAAATAGTATATCTGCCATAAGTCTGATTCAAAAACCAAAATGCAACTTAATTTACATATATAATAATCTGGCATAAAGTCTAATTCAAAAACCATAATTGAGAATAAGACGACTTAAGGGGAACTCTTGGTGACAGACATGCTAATAATTTTTGCTTCCATAATTAGCCTATCCTTAACAAGAAACTTTGTTGATTTATCTTCAAGGTCCTTCCGTGAAATGAACTCAGGCCATCCATAACTGCGTGATGAAGTGCAAAATATGCGTTTTTCTGTTATGTTTTTAGCTTCTGTTTTGTTTTCTGTTTTATGCAGTTTCAAGTGTATGATATTATGTTTTCAAGTGTATAATATTGTGTTGTTGTATTAAGACTTCCATAAACACTTTCAATAACTTGGTTTATATGTTTTCAAGGTATAATTAATAAGATATTCATTAATATCTAAGTCGGTGTGATAAGAATATGTGAGTTTGTGACTGATTTTTTTATTCATTTTGGTCACTATCTAGTTTCTGAAAATGGATGACACTAATGAAGAGGAGCATGCAATTCTTTTGGGTGCTTATGCCATAATGTTGCAAGTCAATAACCTGCTGTCCGTGGTTGAACTTATGTTAGAATATCTCATCTATAGGTTTAAACATAGAAATAGGAAAAGGAAAACAAGTATTACTTCTATTTATGACAGGCATTGTATTAGGCAGTTGAATCTTGATAGAAAGCCTTTTGACTCGGATTTAACATGTTTTGCGCACATTAGAATGGATAGAGCAGCATTTCACAAATTATGTTATATGCTGCAAACTACCGGTAGGCTTGTCCCAACAAGAGGCATGGGTTTGGAGGAAATGGTGGGAACTTTTCTTTACATTCTCTTACACCATGTTAAGAATAGGATAGCTAAAGAGGATTTTGTTAGAAGTGGCGAGACAATTAGTAGGCATTTCAATTCTGTCTTAAATGCTGTCTTGAGGTTACATAAGGAGCTGCTTAAGAAGCCGGAACCTGTACCTCAGAATTCAACGGACTTTCGTTGGACATGGTTTAAGGTAATCCAGTAATTCCATCTTAAAATGCTTGGTGAATCCTTTTAAGCAATAATTAACTAATTAATGTTTTTCATTGTCAACTCTAGAATTGTTTAGGTGCCTTAGATGGGACCTTAATTAAGGTCAATGTTGCTGAAAATGATAAGCCTAGATACAGGTCAAGGAAGGGAGACATAGCAACTAATGTCCTAGGAGTTTGTTCATCCGATTTGCAATTTGTGTATATCTTACCTGGTTGGGAAGGGTCTGCATCAGATTCAAGGGTACTTCGAGATGCTATATCTAGGCCAAATGGATTCAAAGTTCCTGAAGGTAATAAGTTATCTAGTGTTTAGAAAATTACCCACTTAAAAGTCATAAGCTAAAATCATTCTTTTGCTCAGGTCATTACTATCTATGTGATGCTGGATATACAAATGCCGAAGGGTTCTTAGTTCCATATAGAGGTCAAAGATACCATCTATCTGAATGGAGACAAAACCTTCATCCCCAAACAAAAGAAGAGTTCTTTAATTACAAGCATGCAAGTGCACGCAATGTAATCGAAAGATGTTTTGGATTGCTAAAAATGAGATGGGCAATACTTAGGGATAGATCTTGGTACCCAATTAAGACTCATTGTAGAATTATAAGTGCATGTGTGTTGATACATAATCACATTAGAAGGGAGATGTCAAGTGATCCTCTTGAGGCTGAATTGGATGGGAACATTGATGAACCTGACCCTTTGGCTAATGCACCAGCAATTCAGTACATTGAGACCTCAAATGCGTGGACAGCTTTTAGAGATAATTTAGCTCAAGAAATGTGGAATGAGTGGCAAGCTTCTAGGAATCATTGATTAGTTTTTCATATTGTAATCACCATTTCTGAACGTTGGCATCCATGTATTTCCTTTTAGCTTAACACGAACCTGAGTTTAACTTGCACTTTATTTACTCGTGTATGTTTTGGAACTATATTACATGTTATATGAACCTTAATGTATGGCTTTTTCTGCTTAGAAAGATGGAAACATATATTTGTATTACCTGGTTTGGTGCTTTTCCATGCTGTCCTTGAAGAACAACAACCCATCTGCGATTGTCAATCCGTCACCCCCATTGGCCGCAGCTTGTGCCCATAATTGTTCTCCTTGCTCATGTGTAAGATAAAAGTTACACAAGTCATCTAAAAAGGACAAAATGGGTTGGGTCATAGCCATGTGGGTAACCTGCATTGTGTAACACCTTGACAGAGCGTCAGCAGCACTATTTTGTCTCCCAGGTTTATATTCGATTGAATATTGAAAACCCTAACTTCACCAGCCACTTTTGTTACTCCGGTGTTTGAACTGTTTGGTTCATCATGTTCTTAATGCTTTGCTGATCAGTGTAGATGGTGAAGGGTCTTCCTATCAAATATTGGCGCCATTTATGCACAGCCTCAGTGATGGCATATAACTCTCTCACATAGGTGCTGGCTAGCTGCTTTTGGGGCCCCAATTTTTTACTAAAATATGCCACAGGGTGGCCCGCCTGAGTGAGTACAGCGCCAATGGCGACGTTAGAAGCATCCGCTTCTATCGAAAAAGGTAATGAAAAATCAGGTAGAGCCAAGACAGGGACACTAGTGAGTGCTGCCTTCAAAGCCTGAAAAGAATGTTCTGCATCAGGTGACCATAAGAAATTGTCCTTGCGCAATAGATTGGTAAGACCTCAAAGGGGAGATGAAAGAGGTTCAAATCCAAAAAAAAGGAAGGCTGCAAAGGAAGATGATAAAGCATCTTTTTCAGGCTTGGAGGAGGTCAAAGAGCTCGTTTAAGGAGTAAGGGCTGAAATGAGGGAAGTTTCTATATATTTTGAACACCTCAATGCTGCACGCCAAAGCAGAACTACACTGTATCAAATGGTCACCAACATTGAGGGGCTAACAAAGGAGGAGGCAATACACGCTTATGGAATCATCTCTGCTGACAAGGGTAAGAGTGAATCATTCATGATGATTCCAGATGATGAAGGCAAGTTTATTTATGTCAAGGGAGTGATTTCTGGTATTGTTTAAAAAATGTTTTAAATCTGTCTATGCTAGGTGTATAGGAAAATTTTATTTATGTTAATCTAGTTTGTTTGTCATGGCCATA